CGATCGAGAGATACCCCCCTTTGTGTTCACCCCCACTGATCGAAAGATTGCAAGCACAACATTCCCTGGGTAATCTAATTGGTGCTAGTGGAGGATCAGACGGACCAGTCGCATTGCAAGCTCTGGGTCACTTTTTCCATGATGTGCATAGGTTCCCTGTGCACAGAATATTTTGGGGATCCACTGACAGTTCAGGAGAATAGGTTGTAGTCCGTAGATGAATTTAGTGATATGGTGGAGATGGTACGAAGTATAGAAATAGAGCACTGAATAATCCATGTATCTATAACATAGATATTGCTCCGTGTATCACATCGAATTATTTATGCTCCGTGAGTAATATAACATAGAACAAGATCATGTAATCTAATAATCTATTATATTAATCCCAGAGAAAGTCCTGTAACCCCTGAACACAGTTACGCACCCCCTTTCCGCACTGGAGACGCTAACCTGACTAGCGTGTTTTTTCCCAGTCTGGCACAAAGGAAGATCAATTCTCCTAGAGATCTCTCATCTTCCAATTCTTGAGACTTGCTCTAGAATAGTCTTTCTCATACCTCGAGGGGATATGACGGAATTCGATGTTCAACATCTCTGATGGATTCAATGGATATGGGCTTCTTGCCCACCATAAAATGCTCCAATTGCGGGTGCAATGTCGATATCTCATCTATGGGGGATCACACTTGCAGTCGGAATGATTTCGGTAGGCTTCAATCAATCAACGTGGGCGCGAGTCTATGATGGCTAACTGTATAGCCCCGGTTGCACCTATCCCATCACCGCCTCCATCGGCAGGATTCGATTCGGACCGATTCGCAGAGGCCAAGGTTAGCCGGGGCCCTCCCCTGGCCATAGACCCCTCCGCTGCAAGTATGTCTCGTCATGTGGGGAGTTGATGGGATCCACGACTAATCCTACGGATAGATCGAGCATTCTTACAGCCAAATGTGCCGACACCGGTTAGCAGTGTGCATATGTCATCACCTCTCCCTGCCAATCCGGCACCTGCATCTACGGTGGTGCGCCCGTCCACGCACAGTCTGACCGATGATTCGGTTTTTTCGTTCCCCATGCCAGGAAATAGGTCACCGACTGAAGTGAGGACACAAAGTACAATGATGGCTCAGACGGCGTCTAAATCCCAATCCCCAGTTTCGTCGTCGGGACAAGCGGTGGCTTTGAAGCCGGAGAATGTACAACTTCCACCTAGTCCAATGCCGTCCAAGTCTCCGGATACGAATCACCAAAGGGAGGAGTCGGTGTCTTCTTTCGCCAGCAGTCGCTACGGTAATTCCACAACGAGGTCATCGGTCAACAGCGTCTCGCAGGGGTTCCGGTCAATTATGGACGACACACCGCCAGTCCCACCGGCACCTCTCCGCACTTCCAAGAAGAATTCTGTCCACCGTGATTCCGATGTTTCGGTGGTTCCATCCCCGATTAGCAAGGAGGAAGCCAGTGGATTCGACTTTGGTATTCTCAGAGGCCAAAGCCCGACTTCCGGACCACAAGCTCTCCCCGAAGAACCTTCGTCGGCCCAATTCCAAGATCAAACACAATACGTCGCTTTTAATCCCGTACACCTCCACCCTGTGACAGAGGAAACAGAGCCTGGTAGCGATGCGCCAAGGAAAAGCTCCAACGCAAGCATGACGAGTGTATTTTCCGTCACCAGCTTCGCCCGGGCTCTCGGTCTGGATGACCAAATGAATAGCTCTGAAAGCTCTGGCTCTGATTCATCATATTCTGATGCTCGCAGCGGTAGTTCAATGTCTAGTCTTCCTTCCGTTGCTAGCTTCAATCGATACAAACCCACCGATCCGCTCAATCTAAAACATCTCGCCCATACTCGACAGACGGTTTTAGAAATACCCGGTCATATACGGAGCTCCGTGGAGGGTGTCCCTCACATGCCAGCTGCGTTATTCAGCCCTGACTCACCCACCGACCCTTCAATCAACCGAGGTGGTGTGTCATTAATTGCCGAAAGGAAAGAAGTGCTCCCGACTCCGACCCCGATACAGCCAAAACAACCAACCGCCCCAAAGTCACCAACACAACCAAGACAATCTATCCCCCCAAATTCACCAACACAACCAAGG